CCCAGAGTCACTACCTTTCATAGCAGCAGCTCAGTAATTGCTTTGGCTACTTGCATCACAGCAGCCCCCACAGTAGATTTGTCCACTCCAAATTGATTCCCGTCTGACCGGTAGCTGTCCGGTGTTGCAAGCTTCCACAGGGCTATCGCCACTCACTTCTCAAGTGTGAGGGCTGCTCCCATCTTGGTATTCTGGCGCTTCAGGGCACGGGAAAGCAAGTCACAAAGTTCCATGAAAGTGCCCTTATGCATGCGAAAGTTTCGCAGCCACTGGTAATCGTCCCACACCTGCAACACTATGTGGTCCCACCAGTCTGTGCTTGTTTCCCAGGCCCAGAATCGGCCTTCCACGGCTATAACCTGCCCCATTAACAGCATGATCTCCAAAGCACCGGGGCCCGCGGTTTCATAGAATTCCATGTCCATGTCCTCATCACTCCCGCCACCGCGCTGCCGTAGCCTACTCCTCGCCGCCTGGTTTTGCAGGTTCTGGTTCAGCATAAACTGCATGATAACGCACGAGGTGTTTACAATGTTCATGACTGCTGTCTTGAGCTGAGCGGGCTCCATGCTTGCCGTGGTATGGCGTCTGCTTTGTTCACCCAGGAAAAAGGGGTGAAATGGTTGTCTGCCGTTGCTTCCCTGGAGAGGGGGGAGGATGTACCCAGAACCACCCGTGACAATGTTTTTGGCCCCATCAGGCATTGGGATCTCAACCCAGAATTCCAATGGGCGGAGGAGACTGCGGGAACTATGTGATAGCAATGGGATAGCAACCCACAGTGCAACGCTCCGGAAATCGACACTAGCCCCGGTACCTGGATGCACACCGCTGAATTAATGTGCTTAGGGTGGCTGCATACATTCGACTTTATACACTGTTTCTAAAATTCGAATTATATAAATTCGGATTAATCCCCTAGTGTAGGGGTGTGCACCATGGGGGGGGGTAGTAATAAGGCTCCCTAATGCCTATCTAATTAAGGGTGCATTGATAATTGCACTTCCAGCAGGGATTAAATCTCTTGACGCTGTAGCTGGGTGGGCGGCGCGTAGGCGGGGCGGGCACGCTACAAACCGCACCCTATGGAACTCTATACCGGCGCGTGCGCCCCCAGCGGCCGGCCAGCCTGGCGCCCCTCCCCAGCCAGACGTTCTGCCGGTACAGCAGGCCCAGCATCCCCGTGACCGAGGAGCCAATCAGGGAGCTTGGCAGCGGCGCGCCCGGCCGCCTTTCCCCACTTCCCTCAGTCGCCGCCGCCGCTGCTACCCGGGGAGGGGGAGCGTGGAGTGGAGGCAGCCCCAGCCGTCGCCGCGCTCTATGGCGATCCAGGGCTTGTGCAGCGAGGGCGGCTCGGAGCCCTTCTGGGTAAGAGCGGCACGGGGTCTGCGGCCGCGTTTCCCCTGCCGCCGCGTGCTCCGGGGCCAGATCCAGCGCCCGGGAGTCCCGCACGCCGCCTGGCGGGGGTCCCCACAGGAGAGCAGCTTTAGGATCCTCATGGAAGGGGTGCAGCCTTTCCCCCGGGTCAGGCCCTTTCTGGGAGGGTGCAGCCCCCTCTTCCCTTACAGGAAGGGGGTGCATGGGGGTTGCAGGGCCCCAGAGCGAGCAGGTGCAGGGCCCTTGGTCCAAGGAAGGGGTAGAGTCTCCCCCACCCATCCAGTGGCAGCGCTAGGGTACCAAGAGCTTGCCTGATGCCTTTTGTTGTTCTCTCGCCTTGCCAATAGTTATGTAAAGGGTTGGGCTGGTGGTGGTAAATGGGTTTGTGACTGATTGGGCTGTGCTTTTCTTGATGGCATAGGACTGTCTGCTAAACGTATTTACTCATTGCACGATCTTGGTAATTTCACCCAGGCTAAACCTAGTTTCAGTTTAGGTAGATCCTAAGGGCAGCTCTGGCCGCATGAGGTGGTGGTGAGCGCACTTGTATAGTACAGGCTGCTTTACTGGCAGAGCGTGAGAATGCATCACATATATAAGGCTTATGGAATAACAAGCCCTCACCTAAGGAGATTGTGAAGCCCAGGGCACGTTTATTGAGTAGCAAACAGAGCTGCCTGTTCTGTGCTACAGTAATTATGACATCTGTTAAGAGAAAAAGTGCTTTTAATTATTTCCTGTCTCATCGAGGTTAGATTGTGTGTGTTAAGTAAATACATTAGTATGGGTGGCTCTTTGTGGTATCTCAACAGTTAAGTAGCAAAGGTTCCTTTATCTTTATTGTTGTGGTTTTCATGCCCCAAACTCTGATTCTCCTTCCACCTTTCTCTATAATACTGTCTTATGTTGAAATGCACTTTCTATCTGGATATTTGAGTAGTTAGAACATGGGCTATATTCTGATTATCCAAATCATTACACTATGGTTGGTTACATGGTTCTCTGCTATGTATTGTTCTTTAAATATTAATATTCTGGTAGCAAGTCAGAATTGGGGCTCCATTGTGCTAAATGCTGAACACTTATAAGTACATGGTCCCTGCCCTTAAAGCTGCTGTTAATGAATTTTGTTCTGGTTTTGCTTTCATTTGGTCTCTTTATCTAATCAGGCATGTACAGTACACTTGCCTGATGTCCCCTTGAATGTAATGTAAACAGAGCAACTTTGGGTATGAATAGAGGTTTATGGGAATGTTCCCCTTTATAGCTGAGATAATAAAGAAAACACTTGGTTTGTGGATCAAGTGAAGCCCTAATCTTGAATGGGGCTTTCAATTGCTACTGCAAATATAGAATCCTAGATTCTAGTGACACTTCAACCTGTCTTTCTATGATTCCAAAATGTATGTGGTATCTTGTAGACTCGATAAGTATTCAGGGTACTAGCCACAAAATAGAGTGGTGTGTACATGTGGTCATTGTAATAACGGTTTCCTGCTTTGGTCAGATAAACTACATTCTCACATGTGATATTCTTCTTACTTCAGTCATATAAATAGATATAACTGATGTGCTTTTTGTTGAAGGTTTGTAAATAGTTAAGGGTTTATTAGTGTTGGAACTTGTAGTTCATTGGGAGTTTCCAAGTTGTGAACTTGCCTTGCTTACTGAAAAACAGTTCTTGTGCAAGCTGGAGCAGTTGCTAAACCAACCTGCTTGAAGTGAGAGAGAGTTCCTGGGAAAATACACCCTTCTGAGGTAGTAATCTGTGTTACTCATCCGATTATAATGGTAACATTAATGATTGCTGAAAATGTTACCAGTTTGCATTAAGTGCATTGGATTGTTTGTTGATGAGTTCAGAGGACTTTCTTTGGGCTGACTTGTAGTAGCTATTGAGCGCTTGCTTTAGTCCTACTTTTCCTGAAATTTTCAAGAGGTATTAAAATTGTGAGTGGGGCTTGAAAAATCCATTCTCCCATGGCAAGTAGGAAGCTTTCCCTGGTGTGTGCCCTCAACTTCTGCAGAACATACGTTTTCATTTTTAAAAAAGTCTCTAGTCCTTATGGTTGTGAAGGTAACTTCCCAAATGTGAGCCACTTGTGTACAATGCAGTGTGTAGGTATGGGGCATATCTTGATAAATCTGCAGACATACCACTTCAGTGCCCTTTCTGCAGCTTGTAAGTTTCCATTGCAGCAGAGAGGGAGCTGTGAGAGGGGTTGAGTAGCAGAGACTTAACACCCATGCCCTTGTAGTAGCTAGGAATCTACCTTTCATATTGGCCTTTGGCTGTTGCCATGCACTGAAAGGTATAAATTGGAGAAGTGAAGTACAACATATAGAGAACATGGAAAGGTGGCACTAGAATGGACAATGTAAGAAAATAAAGGAAGAGCGAAGTGGGACTGCAGGGAGAGAACAGGGAAAGAGCAAAACAGTGAAGGAAATGAAGGAAAAATATATTGACTATTAAAGCAAAGAGAAGAAGAGAAATATAACAAAAGCAAGATATATTAGTAAGTAGGGCTGGGTGAATAGAACTGAAAAAAAATCCATTAATTTCACAAATTTGTCAACTCATGTATCTGCCAAACAGCATTTGAACAGATAATAAGCTGATTAGATACTTCAAGAGAGAATTTGTAAGATAAATAATTCAACAATACTGATGAAATGTATTTGTTTGTTCTCTAGTGGTGTTTATCTTGCTCAGTAGCTGTTCAAAAACTATTCAGCAAATACGTTATCTATGAATATTGGTGATATTCAACAAATATCTTGTTTTGTTGCTCAGCTATCCAAACATGTTGCATTAGAAAGTTTGACAATTTTACAGTTAAGCATATACATAATAAACAGCACGCAACTGTTTTAATTAAATAGCAGGAGACATTGTTTTGTGGCAAAGAAAGGGAGTAGCTTTGGGGGGTATTTATTTCCCCCCCCACCTATTATATTTGAGCAAATAGATGGGTACATTTTTAGAGTTTGTTGCTTGATTCAGTTAGAAATAGGCACATGCATACAGTGTGTGAACTTTTCCTTTTTCAGGTTTCTAACTACGTGTTGACTTTTCTCATAACTTAAAATATTACAAATGCAAAATGAAAAATTCAGTTATAGCGCTTATTTTCAAGATTGACGGGTATGCCTTTGTATCACTTTTTACTAATTAGTTGGGTAACGTGCAATCACTTGGAGGATTTCAGACTCCTGTTGTTCTTGGATTTGTTCCAAAGCATAAGTACTAGGACAAATTCTTTTTCTGCTTGATCTAAGCTGTGATCTGGTGGCCTTAATTAAAAAGGTAAAGGTTGCTTGTGATCATATCCTTATTAGAGTTAATTTGCAGTCCTTTTAAAATTAATATTGATTGATTAATGAATAATAAATTATGAATAGTCAAATATTTTTTCTTTTTGTGAATGAAGGCAGATTTCTTTATTGATAAACTCTGCTTTTGGTATGTTTCTTTGGTGAGAATTCTGTCCATATTGTGAAATCCTTGACTTGAAAAAAATGTGCAGTCATTTCGGTATTTTTAAAAAAAATACAATTGCCAGTGTGGAAAGGTTGATCCTTAGGGCTGACCATTAAAAAGAAGCCTACTGGAATAGAATTTGTGGTTCAGATAATTTTTAGGAACCCCCCCTCCCCAAAAAAAGATTATAGGTTACATCCTTTCTGTTTGAAAGCTCTGGTAAAACATGAGCCCTGTTTGTGCGCTTGTTTGTTGTGAAACAGTCTCACATTTTTTCTTCAATTACTTCAGGGAATGAAAACTGAAATCAACAGGTTAGGTGGCAAAGTGAGTCATGCCCCCTTTACAAATACATTGCATCACCAAGAAACAGAAGATCTGTAATATATTTTTAAATAACATCTTTGTTCCATGGCTTTATATAAAAAAGTAGTGGCTTAAAATGTAATGTCTTTCATACAAACAATTAGTAATAGCGCTTCTGATTCTAAAGTATTTCAAACTGTATATGGAAAATCATACAACTTCTCTGAAATGTTGCCACTTCTTGGGAAGAGGCTGTAAGTCACTAGTGGATGCCACAATGTATGGGAGGGGAATTTTTGTCCAAGCTGATGGATGCTCTAGAAACATGCAGACAGGTAGATCATTACCATCTTCTTTCTTCCTGAGAATTAGAAATCCCTTGCAGTCTTCCTAACTTTGCACCATCCATTTCTGTGGTGTGGTCACCTGCTTTTTGGATTCTTCTCATATAGAAGAGCCTAATCATGCAAAGGACTATGTGCCCTCAGCTTCAGTTGACTTCAGTGGCTGCTGTGATGGGGTGTCCTCTTCACACTTGCACTGAAAGAATTAAGGCAGGCCAGAGGGGCCAATTAGCCTATTAGGCGGCAAGCTTGGGAGAATTAAGACTCAGAGAAACCTTCATTAGAAAAAGCTCACATCTGCAGGAACAGGTGCGGCCAGGAAGCTGACAACAGAAGGGGCTGCTGGGACAGGCTGCAGTCAGTCTCTGGGAAGAGGGAGGAGTATTTGGAGGCTGCACAGATATGTAGCTTGTAGTTACTCCTTGGGAGGAGGGAGTGCTGAAGCTGGCAGACCCAGAGAAGGAAGGGAGAGCCAGAAGGTTAGGAAAGGGCTCAGGGAAATGCAGAAAGGTACAGGGTGGAACAGACTTGCAGTGGTTCTCAGCCAGAGGTCTGGCGGCCGCAAACACATTTCAGGGCATCCTCCAAGCGTGGCCAGCCTTAGACTCGCTAGGGCCCAGGGCAGAAAGCCAAAGCCCCACTGCGTGGGACTGCAGCCCAGGGCCTCGAGGCCCAGCATCCAAGGCTGAGGCCGAAGCCTGAGCAATTTAGCTTCGCGATGCTCTCCTGGAGTGAGAGGGGACTGCAGACAAAAAGAGGTGGAGGGATGGCTTTGACCTGGTGAGCTATTCCCAAGAATGACCAGGAGGAGGCACCATAACATGTGAAGAATAGAGCACCATAACATGTGAAGAATA